TTCACGACCGAGCCCAGTCTGCACCTGTCTCAAATGGTGAGCACGGCCAGCACGGCCAGCAGGATCGACGCATCAGCGCACAGTTTGAGCCGAGGGTCAACCGCGTTTCGTCGCTGCCGCCGACGCAGGAGGTTGAGGAAGACGAAGGTGCGAAGGCCGAACAGTCGCCTCAGCCTGTTGATGCGTATGCCCCTCTTGGCGCGACGCCTGCATCGCCACCTCTTGCACGCCACACCCCACCGCCGTCCGCCCATGGGTATGGCCCATCCATGTTGTCGCCCCCCAAGAGAGCTGCGGCCAACTACACGCCTCAGCCGCAATCGAACCCCCTGTCACCCGAGCAGAGGTTCGCGCCCCCGATGAGGTCGCAGACACAATCGCCTGGCTCACTCCAAAGCCGCTACCAACCCAGTGAAGCTGCTGCACGTCCGGCATCCTCGCATGGTGCCGCTGCTCCGCAAGCAGCGCAGCCCGCCAGTGCTCAGCACTCATATGCCGCAGCACCTCGCACGGGTCGCCACCGAGCTCCTTCTCAGAGCTTGAACATGGTCGCCCCTACCGATGGACGTGAAAATGACCCACTCAAGAGGTGGAAGGGAGCACCTGTCTTCTCGTGGGGTATCGGTGGCACCATCATCACATCTTTCCCCAAGGAGATCCCACGCTACGGCATGGGCCAAACGGCACCCATGATTGTGCGTACGCCCGGCGAAGTGCGCGTCAAGCAGGTGAAAGACATTGAGCCTCTCGAAGACCGGCTGGCCAAATTCCCTGGACCTCTCAAGGGGAAGTCGAAGAAGAAGGAGACTATTTCCTGGCTGACTGCCGGGATCGAGTCACTGGAGGCAAACTTGCCAGGGCAGACGTACAGCTCTCAAATCACCCACGAGGACAAGCGAACGACTGAGCGCGTCTTGTTGTGGAAGATTCTCAGGACGTTCATCGAATTCGATGGCGCTCTCGAAGGCGGCGCAGAGGTCGAGGCCGCCGTGCGCGACATTCTCTCGCCAGAAGCAAAGGACGAGGCAGCTGAGGCAGCTCCTCTTTACGCGGATGGCGCAGCTGGTGTTGCGTTCCCAGCCACTTCCACTCAGATGCAGGCAGATGGTGTTGACTCCCAAACTGTCGTCTCTATCCGCAAGCACCTCCTCGCTGGTGATCGGGAACAAGCGGTCTGGGCAGCTGTCGACAAGAGGCTCTGGGGTCATGCCATGCTCATCTCGAACACGGTGTCGCCGGATCTGTACAAGCAGGTCGCCCAAGAGTTCGTGCGTAAAGAGGTCAACTACCCGGGGCGTAACAACGAGTCGATTGCTGCACTTTACAAGGTCCTGTCAGGCAATTTCGATGAGTGTGTCGATGAGCTGGTCCCCAGCCATGCTCGTGCTGGCCGCCAGCTGATGACCACGGCCGCGACTGCCGAGCCAGCCAAGGACGCCCTCGATGGCCTCGACAAATGGCGCGAGACCCTAGGGTTGGTGCTCAGCAACCGGAGCCCCGATGACACCAAGGCGCTGAGCGCACTGGGCGATCTCTTGTCGACATATGGCAGAGCTGAAGCCGCACACATTTGCTTCCTCTTTGCCCGCAAGACGATAGTATTCGGGGGTCTCGACGATCAAACAGCCAGCTTTGTCCTCCTGGGCGCTGACCACAAGACTCAAGCCGAGCAGTTCGGCAAGGAAACAGAGGCACTGCTGCTTAGCGAGGTGTTCGAGTATGGCCTTTCGCTTGCGAACGGGGCCAACTCGGCCGGCGTGCCGCACCTCGCTGCCTATAAACTCCAGCATGCCGCAACTCTGGCGGAGCATGGCTTTAGGGACAAGGCGCTGCAATACTGCGATGTCATTGCCAACTCGATCACTGCACAGACAAAGAGGTCTCCGTACCACCATGCCCTGCTCGAGGCTGCGGTAGATGACCTGTCCAAGAGGCTCAAGCAGGCGCCGAAGGGCGAATCTTCGTCCTGGATCTCCAAACCCAGCATGAACAAGGTCTCGGATAGCATGTGGAACCGCTTCAACAAGTTTGTTGCCGGCGACGAGGCCGACGGTTCTGGCACCGCCACGCCAGGCGAGCCCGGCGCGGAGACTGGGCCATTTGGCCGCATTGCCGGAGGCACACCTACCATCAGCCCGTCTCCTTCCGTATCGAACTTTGACGTGTACGGGAACAACAATCCCGGCTACCCAGTCACTGCTCCTGCAGCACTTGCACAGGGGACGAGGGCAGCATCGCGCTACGCACCCATGGGAGCGCAGCCGTCTACACCGACGACTTCGTATGAGCCGACGTCGGGTTATACGCCTGCGGCGCAGTCGACTCAGCCGTCGAACGACTACGGCCGTGCGTCCTTTGATGCGCCGACTCGCACCTCTATCGACTCGCAGTCTGGTGTTACCGCAGGCAGCTATACTCCGCAAGCCTACAACCCTGCACCCTACGGTGCGCCTCTGGACGGCCATGCACCCCAGCCTGACCCCGCTCCGTCTGCCTATGGACCGTACGGCGGCTTGCAAGAAGCTCCGGTCATCACACACCAGGGATCGCCAGCGCCTCCTGCCGATGCGCCCACCCAATTCACTCCTCAGGGGGATCAAGGCTACCAGCCGCCCTCGTACGGCTATGAACCTTCGTCTTTTGTCACGAACGCAGGCCCGGATTCCCAACAGGCCGAGCCCGAGGATGCTGCAGCTAGCGGAGGGTACGAAGCACCTTCGTACCAGCCCTACAGCTACGAGCCACCGACCTATGACCCGGGCGTTGAGCCATCCAACGACGACAATGACGATGATGACAAGCCAAAGCCAAAGAAGAAAAGCTTCATGGATGACGACGAGGATGATATTCCCGCGCTGCGGCCGCAGGGGAAATCCAAGTCGGAGAAGGACAAGGAGAATGACGAGATGTTCAGAAAGGCCGCCGAAGAAGATGGTAAGATTCAACCTAGGCATGCCCCTTTTCTTTGTCACAACGAAGCTAATAGCAGTACAGCCAAGAGAGCAGGTGAACAGAGCGCAGGCAAGAAGGGATGGGGCTTCGGCAGTTGGTGGGGTGGCAAGAAGGACGCCATGCCGGATTCCAACCCAGGCAACAAGCCGATCCGTGCCAAGTTGGGCGAGTCGAGCAGCTTCGTCTACGACCCCGAATCAGAAAGCGATGGGGTCAAGAAGGCCGGGGCCGAGCAGACACGGCCGGGCCGAGCAGACACGTTACCACCCTCCACCGCCCAAGGCCAAGTCGACCGCACGCCCCCCCTCGTCGTCGTCGGGCGCCATGGGACCCCCTGGCGGACCCCCTCGGCCGCCTATGCCGATCGGCGCAGGCAGCCTGTCAAAGGCTCCTTCGCGGGAGAGCCTTGACATCCCGGCAGGCCCACCAGCCATGGCCAGGTCGGTGTCGAACTCGAGCACAGGGCCACCGAGCGGACCGCCGAGCCGGCCGACGACGAGCATGAGCAATGCCAGCAGCATTGATGATCTGATAGGCGCCGCAGGACCGCGTAGGCCTGGCGCGAAGAAGGCGAGGAAGAGCGGACGCTATGTTGACATTATGGCGAAATAAGGAGTTTGGTTGGATTTGGAGGCGTCTGTGACGAGACCTCCGAAACGAGACGGTCTCTCTGTTGTACTATACACTAGCAACTTGTAATGCATCGAATCCGTTCCGATTTTGTCCAATTTTCTTTTTAATAATTTTCTTTTACGTTTCTCGTACTGGCCAGGAACGCACTGGCTGTGAATCCATGTAGCCCCCTACTGACAGGCACGAAAGCCCCAGGTTCCAAGCCTCATTCAGGGGGCGCTCGGTGTGTTGTGGCCAGGAACGTGAGCCTCATCGGTAGGGATGCCTGGTTATCTTATCGGACCCCTGTCACCACCAACCCCAGTGCATCGGTGCCTGTGGCGAGGCGCGTTGCGTCACGAGGCCACTACGGGGGGAAGCCTAGCCTCAGCAACTTTGGGGCCAGACTCACCGAGCTCACGACGCAACGCCGACTCGAACAGCCTGAGTTTGACCTTGCATCTTCGCACGGCAGCTTCTAGAACAGCAGAGTGGCTTCAGTGGCAAGGTGTGATCTGAGAACAAACACTGGCCTGCCTAACCCGCTGGCCGCCCTCTTCCCGTGCCTGTACTATTAATACGTCTCAGCTTTCGTTACAGTGTCATCGTGTATGCCGACACCCCGACCCTCCGATTCCGAACAACCTGGACGCCCCTCTGTCATCTCGACGCGATACCTGTAACTAGACGCATTCTAAAGAGCCACTCTTGCTTCTGGATGCTGGCCAAGACCATGCGAACTTTCCACCTTGGATAAACCCCCTCCGACTTCCACCCCTCGATCCTACCCTTCCTTTCCACAACCACAACCATGGACTATTTCGCGCCTCCGCGGTG